ACAGAGCGAATAGCCAAATCAGTGAGTACACTTCAGTAATTACACGGATGGAGATTCCAAGCTGGACCTCACCGTGGAACGAGGGACCAATGCTTTTCAATTACTACAACTGGCTTCCAGGAAAAACCCTTGCTACAGATTCCAGTACAAACCATACAGTAATGGCTACAAAGTCACAAACATATGTTGTCTCCAAGAGGATCAATCAACCAACTTTAAATGGATCGTTTACTAGAATAATAGTCCCCAATATGGTGCCGTTGATGCCATTGTACCGGTTGATAATGACGACATTGCATTCCATTATGAAATATCATATTTCAAATGAAAACACCTTGTACAAAAATATTAAAATATTACAGTAATTTTGAATGAATGACTTCAAATCTTGTCTATATTTGTAGCAGTAAAAAACAGTAATTTAGTTATATTTTTATGTATAATTACTCCGGCGTCAGCGACGGAGTTGAAAATTCGCCTCGGTTTTGTTTTGTTTTTGTTTTTTTTTATTATTTTTCGTCGTCGCAAGTCTGAAATGGCGCGAACCATTCTAGTATTTGAAATGTGTATGTAACCGCATTTATTTACGTCCCAGTCTTATCTTCTAAGAGTTGTGGTGTACAGCTTTGGCTAATTTTCCGATGCGCGATTCGATTTCGCTCGCATGATACGGCAATTCCTCCAAGAGGAACAAATAAACCGTTGTTTTCATGCTGTTCGATTAAGTTTAGATTGAATTGGGGTAAGAATATATTCAATACATGTAGATTCTGTTCCTATTTTAATAATATCGCTGCTATTTCGTTTAACAAGATGATGTGGTGGTGTGTGGGCGCGTTGACACGTCGTAGTTTGCACAGGATTGAAGATTTAATATAAATATAAGCGCGAATTCCAAAGGCAAAGTGTAAGACAAAGCGAATGTATCAAGCGGTTTATTTACATTTTTGAACAATTGAACTTCAACACTTTTTAAAGTACGATGTGCTTCTAAATTTCGCAATCGAACATTTTTAGGTTCGCAACTCGCAAGGCATTTAAATGCGAATATGAACTGTATTGTTTATGTTCAGAAGCTCTATATTAAAGACTGGAACGTGCGCCGGAGTTAACGCCAGAACAGGCGTCTTGTTGGGTTAGCGATGAAGAAATAAAATTAATAAAGACGTATCAATTTTTGGCTAATGCTTATTGCTTGCCTGCGATGGCGCGGTAACAAGACTGCTATAAAAAATTTTCCGTCATAATATTTTCGAAATTAACTTATAAAGGTTGAAATTTTGTGGTTGAAACATCTGGAGAATTGCGAAGAAGGTAATGTAGAATTGTTCGAAATTTTCTGACGCCGGCGGACATGACTATAAACTTTGAAATTGACCCACGGTCTTTGGTTCGCTAGTCCAATGCTCTTCCAACTGAGCTACAAGGTCAAGACGGCTCGAATGTGTGATATTTCGGGAATCCATTTAGTGCCTTAACTCTATATATATATATATATATATATATATATATAATATATATATATATATTAATATATATATATATATATATATATATATATATATATATATATGTATATATGTATATATCTGTGTAAAAACAAGTCTTGCGGATACTTTTCTATTTCATACGTATGGTCTAACATTGATGCATAAGATTTTCCATGCCGTATAATTATTATTGACACGAATTGCCCGACTACAGAATTTAGCCATTAGTTAATGTAATATAATCAGTAAGCTACATGTAAATCCGTACAGACGGGCAAGTCTTCCTTGATGAGTTTGTCAAGAAAAAATTGTCAAATTTGTCAAACCATTGCGTTAGATGGAAGTGCAATGAGGTCCATCGAGTGACCTGATCGACTATCCTTGCACGCGAAGGGGAGTCAGCAACGTTTATAGATGAGAAATGACATGAAACAATTGAAGATGAACATTTGCAGATGATGCAATCTAAAATACTTCTTTCAAGGCATTGGAATACAAATGAGACCGGGCGGGTTGTGAAGTCCACGAGTCGACCAATGCATGAGCGGCTGTTAACGTAGACATGGACCCAGGAGTCCTGGATGCTATCAGCAAATTCAGACCGCACATTGGTTAGAGCAGGAATTGCCTTTGTCACGATATTGTTGGTTAGCTGGTCTGCTTTGCAGTGATCGGAAATGGCGATAGCAACTTCGTAATGGTTCGAAAAGCCATCCCAAGCATAGGATGAGTGGATCTTAAACTGGAAATGAAGTTCATTGCGCCAAGGGAGAAACCGGATCAGGTCTAGAGGAACTCGAGGCGCAGGGAGGGGAGATAAAATTATTCGTTTGGTTTCCATACATCATATCGACTATCGATATACAAGGAATATAATGTGTTTGAGAGGAAGTGGTAGGAAAACTAAATAACCAATCCTATAGAAAATGACTGGCGAACATCATACGGTTTAAATGGAAAAAAATTTTCCTCAAGAGGTGATGAAGTCGCGTTATTTAGTGCCTGGCCAGTCGTGGAAAGTTTCGACACTGTTTTGTGCAGCGAAAGCATTTGAATATACTCTTAAGTATTGTAGCGAAGCCGTCTGTGCTGCCGTCAAAAGGCGCAAGTCTTTTCAGTTTCAAAATTAATATTAGTTAGGCCTGCCGCAGAAAGTTGTTCTAAATATGGGACACGAACAGAGTTTTGTATAAAAGCCATGCAGGCAAGACATTATCCTACATATATTCGTTCGTTTTTGTAATATTAATATATAGCGGGGGGGGGCGCAACTTCGTTTGGGAGGGGGGATATCGAAAATTTCAAAATTTGTTTCGTGATTCTCAAAATCTTGGGGGGACAAGTGCTCCCACTGCCCCCCTGCCCCCCTGTCCCGTACGCCTATGGTTATAATATTATTTAGAAGGTTAGAAACATGAACATAATCAAAATCTAGAATCGGAAATATATACTGAAATAACAAAACATAGCCAATATTGAATAAAGATAAACGTGTGTAAAACTGCCTTCTTTATGCGGATAATTTTAGTTATCTTTTTCTTGGTTTTAGCTATAAACGCTACGGAATAAGAGACCAAATGCAACACTACAAAATAAGACTCCCGTAAGACCCAAAAAATGAAATAATTGCTTTTCTAGTATATTTTTGTCCACAATGAAGTTTTATAAAATGACAACTATGTCATCTTCCATCAATCGCTCACCGTAATTAACAAAAATGAAATGTGTGGTACCTTGCTGTATTCGTAGGGTTTCGCCAGTGTTCGTTGTGAAAATATAAATAACAAAACGCGCGCATTAATCTCTGGTATAGATTTCTATTTCCTTGTAAAATAATGCTTTGCGAGCTTGGCACGTGACCACCATGCAAAGTCCAATCCACAAGTCACATGATCCAAGTCACATGATCCAATTCATAACACATTCCAACACCGCAATGTGGTCTCTGTTTGTTTTGTAATTTTTTTAACTATAGGAACCAGCTTCTTTTCTCTTACAACGATAGAGACGCCAAGTTTACTATTAGTAACTACGACAAGGCCTAGCAAAATGAACGAACCTTTGTCTTTAAATACTACACAAAATGTACCCGCGAGGTTTACTTCAATCAGCGAATTTATGTAAAGCTAGTGGGTGGATAAAACGGGAATGATAGCGGCGATGAAAACAGAAATATATTTGTCTATTTAAAGCATCACATGCGGCAATAATTATAAGATGTATGTATATCATCAAAGAGAGTAATAATGACTTAAATTTTCTTTTAATTATATGAATTGATTGCCCTGCATGCATGCATGTATAGCGAAACGTTTTTATCTGTTTTAGAGGGAGCTCGAGAGACAAGAAGGCTGATGCTATAGGAAATAACTGACGAACATCAGCTATCCCAGACTTAGTCTCAGATTTTAAGTGCATTAAGATACTAATTCATAACACATTCCGGCTCCTCGATTTGGTTTGTAGTAGATTTGTGAAAATTACAAGAGACAGCTCAACCAGCGTGCATGCCTATAACAATATATTTATGCACTTATTCACGCTTTTGAGTTTTGGCAATCATTATAAAATTTATTTATATCTTCAAAGAAAGTATATATTTGTATCGCACGAGTCTTTTCGTTCAAAACGTAATTGAATAAAAAATCGAATATTAATTAACCTTGTTTATATGCATTTTTGGGCACCATTGAACAACTTACCTAGTGGCATGTAGTTAATGACTACGAATCTCTGTCTTTTGAGAAATTTAAAAATCTACTTAATAGCCATTTTGAAGGTTTGGAAACTAGTTGAAAATGGACATTAACAATATCTTTAAGATAATTATATAAATCAACTGAAAGGCCTGTGAATTGGAAAGATTAGTGGACATCTTTACAGATTTAAGCCTTGCTGTTTCCTAATTTTTAAAACTTCAAATTAGTATTGTCACGCTTCTCGGAATATCGGTTGTCAAAAACGAGCTTCTATAAAGAATTTGGAACACGTTCCCTTTAAAATTATGATCTTCCAAGGAAAACGTGCGTTAACGATATTTCGTTGAAACGGGAAAACGAACGGATAACGAACGGGTAGTTAGAGGACGATCTGTCATAACGTTCCAACGAATCTAGAAAAAGTTTTGACGAATTCAGTCAAGAATACGAACATATTAAGTCGAGAATACGAACGAATAAATAAACGTCCAGTCAAAAGCGTTCGAACTATTTATGAATGGTTTTAACGAGTTAGTCTGAAAGCTTGCTGGGCGTGATATGATTGACGCAAAATATTATTGACTAATTAACAGAATTGGAAATATGTGTCAAACAAGTAACATGTGTTGGCGTAAGTATGTATGCATTTAAATATACCTTCATTTGAATGCTTAACTAAAATTATTAGCTATAGGCTACTACCTAAATCACGTCATTTTAAACTATATAAGTAATACATCATGATTGTAAATCTGATTTGTTGAACCATTTAATTTTGGCATTTTGGTTACTTTTTGATACAAAGTGGATATAAATTTGCAAAATTATTTGGAATAATATAAAATTTCCTAAATCCATGATATTATAGTAAGTATAGCACTTTAGACAACGCGCATGCGTGCATGCAAGAATGAGCGCTAAATTCTGGTCATAGTTATCATTTTTGGAAACTGGCAGACAAGAGAAATCCACCGAATTCGGTATATCGATAAGACCCTGTAATGGCATAGGTACTACCGTTAAGCAACTTAACCCAGAATATGTCGCCCTTTTCCAAAACTACAAAAATTGTTTTCGTCAGTTGATCGTAAGTTTTGTGGTGTGCATGTATATCACTGATTTTACCATTATTTTTCATTAGCATAACGCGAGAGTTGTATCCATTAAGTTGAAGGTACGTTGCAGTAAACTGGTAAAGACCTGCAGTGGGAGCAGTAAATTTCTTGTGCTTGGATTGTAGCCGTTTCCAATGTTTAAAGCTACGTCGTTGAATTTAATTGCGCCATCGGCGTAGTTAGGTCCGATATTGCCACTTGTAAGAGTAGCTTGGAAAGCGACTAAAGTCTAAAATAGTTATTATATTAGGATTTTATTCGGAGGATTAACAAACACCGTTCAGAAATCAAATATAAAAATATCCAATTTTTTCTAGCTTTGCTAACACTATAATCATAATACCCTAAAAAATTAATCACCATTTTTTCTCAGTTAATGAAATAATTTACAGCTTAAAAATTACTATACCTGTCTTTGAATACCAATGCTTTTTCCGTTAACATTGAAATCACGCATACCCTCGTCAAAATTTAGCGTTATACCCCCATTCTATGCGGAAAAAACGAATATCTTTCTCAGTTAAAACTATGTTAAAGGTATATGTAACAGCTCTTTCAATCTTTTTTTTAATTAAAGAAAAGTTCTTAAACTTTTCATGACTTATCAGGCGGGATTTGCACACGTTGATCATATTTCATAAAACCCAAATCTGAGTTGAAACATACGGAAGCGATATGCAGCAACTTACCAAGGGGACGTTTAAAGCCCTCCTTTCTCTTACAACGGTAGAGGCGCCAAATTGCCCAGTGGTACCAAGCACGAGGCCGAGCAAAGCGAAGTTAATAGACGACAGGCACAACATTTTTTTTGATGTTCTTTCTTCTTTAAAGGCTTCCTCAAAATGTACTTGACATTTACTTCCGTCAGCGAATTTATATAAAACCGGACGGATATGATCGGCTATGGAAACAGAAATATATTCATCTATTTTAAGCATCACATGCGACAATAATTACAAAAAAAATATCCATATATACCTTCAAAGCGCTTACCAATAAATTAGGCATTGATGCATGTACAGGCGAAACGCTTTCATGTGTTTTAGAGGGAGTGGACGGAAAACTGAACCTATAGAAAATGATTGAGAATAATCAGTTATCCTAGACTAATTCATAACACATAACAGCACCTTAATTTCCTCTGATAGTTTTGCATTTTTCCAATTATATAAGAATTTGCCAGTTCCGTCAGACTGCATGCTTATGACAATATAATTATGCACTTATGCACGCCTCCGTGTGAGTGGTGAACATCATCAAAATTTATCCATTTACCATCAAAGCAAGTCTAGTTTATTGTGTTATCGCACGAGATTTTCCGTTCAAAACGTAATTGATTAAAAATCGATTATTAATTAATCTTTTTTTATGCAGCCTTGGAATTCACAACACATTGCAGTACCGCAATGTTGGCTGTGACAGTTTTGTACATTTTTTCAACTATCAGAATTACATAAGTTAACTCTCCAGTTGCATGCCTAAAACAATAATTATGTTCTTATGCATGCACGCTGGTGAGTTGTGACGAGCAAAATCTTTCAAAGCAAGTACTATAATGTCCCCGACACTCTCTTGAATGTATAATTTATCGCAGTAGTACTAGTCATTTCGTTCAAAATGTATAATTATAGGTAAAAAAATAGAAATTATCATGTTTATGTAACCTTGAACGCCAGCTCAGAAAATTCCAGAAACATGTGCATTAATTTAGGTGATTAACTTTATTTCTTTTTATCTATCTATTACACTGAATGGCCCAAATGTTCCGCTGTGTTTCAGAAGGAGAGGCAGGAAAATTGATTCCGGGGAAAATGACGTCCATTGAGCCTAGTCTTAGATTCTGAGCGTATTAAGTTACCAATTCATAACACATTCAAACACCGCAATGTGATATCTGTTTTAAATTCTTTTTAGACTATAGGAATTACAAAAGTCAGCTCGGCGAGCCTTTACGGAAACGAACTGATGCAGCACATACCAAGGTGACATTTTAAGCCCTCCTTTCTAATACAACGGTGGAGAGTGACGCAAAATTGGCCAGTAGTAACAGCACGAGGCCTAGTAATACGAAATTAACAGACAACATGTACGACATAAGTAATTTGGCAATCATTGCCTTTAAATAATAGATAACAGTAACAATCGGCGATGAAAAGAGAAATGTATTTATCTATTTCAAGAATCACATGCGACAATAATTATTGAAACATTTCTATACCTTCAAAGCGAATACTAAAGGCTTAAATTCTGCTAATCAATGCATTGCCATGCATGTATTGAATTATATAGAGGAAATGTGTTCACGTTTAGAGATAGTGGCAAGAAAATTGTCGTGTATAGAAAATTATATTAATTCATAACACATTCCGGCACATAAATTTGGTCTCGTATAGTTGTAATATTCCAGATATAAGAATTACGTACAAAACATATAGCTCGGCCAGCCTGCAAGTTTATGCATGACAATATAACGAAACACGTATGCATGCACGTTTATTCGTTGTGACAAGTATTCCGAGATTTATTGACCACCAAAGCAAATACTGATGTCCTCGAAACTCTCTTGAACCTATAATCGTAGTTATCATACTATCAAATTTCAAGTTAGCCGCCTCGTCGCGCTTAGCCGTCAATTCTAAATTCTAACATTCTGAAAGACGTTCTCTGATGCAATAATCATCATACTTGCAGGGAAGTGATCAGTGATTAACCTACCGAAGAAGGCTGGAAGTCTCCCGTCTAAGCTGCATGAGCGAAGATATTCGATTGCGGTCGAATTTATATATATAAAGCTCCATAAAGACGGCAGGTTTTCCTTGCCAAGTTTTATGGCAAAAAAAAACATGTTCGCCGTACACACGAGCAAGTGAATTGGTCAAGAAAGCTTGTAAAGGAAAACTTGCCCCGTATATGTACAGGGCTTAAAATGATAGCGTACCGTACCGTCGAGTGATTTGGCGATTCAACAATCCAACCTTGATCTAACCGCAATTCGACCTCGGTCTGACCTCGCTTCAACAGCGCTTTTGGTTAGGTTATTTCTCGGCAGTGCATGTACTGTACATCTCATGCTCGACAAACATAATAAAAAATTATTCTCTCCAGACCTTCTATATCTTACTGAACTAAATTTCGTTGATTTCAGAGGTTTTCGGTTATAATTGTGTTGCCGTTTTGAGCAGTTCGTGCATGCCATTCCGTTCGGAAGCGAATTGAAACCGACTGTATTTTTAAGTACTGATTACTCGTCTAGGGTTTCTATTGGTTGATTGCAATCGAGCCGCAACCGAACCGCAAACGACAAGCAGCCAAACCTGCACAGTTACAAAAAGAGTTCAACCTTCCTTCGGTAGGATTTCAAGTTTTGAAAACCTTCCTCAAAATGATGTTACGACACTGAGTCAAATGGCAACCAGCATTAAGAAATATTTGGTTTTTTGGTACATGCATGTGATCAATTAGAGTGTTCAACTTTGAGCCTTCCTCAAAAACCTTCTTCAAAGCAAACCTTCCTCCGGGTGGCACCTGCGTACCCGCAGCTTTTTTGCAACTCTGCAAACCTGTGTAGAGTTGTAGACTGTTAATATAGGATGGCAATGTTGCAAAGTGAGATTTGATATCAATAGCGTTAGACGATTAAGTTTATTATTGCCACAGACAACTGGAAAATGAGGAAATTTTAATACTGAAAATAGTTAAACAATGATCAACGATATTTTTTTCTATTTTTTTCATTTTATGCAATGTTTGATGCGACTTTTCCAGTTGGCAAAGCTTGGCTTCGTTTTTGTACCTGTCAAATTTTTCAAGCAGTCTCAGTTTCCACAACTCGCAACATGTTCAAGGATCACTTTCCTTTTTTTGCGTGAAATCTTTTTCCCACGTGCACACGTTTCCAGATTACTGGAGTAGATCATTTCAATAAACGATGCATGCTGTTGTCCTTGTATGCACCCCGGTTCCGCAAAATGGCAGATAATTTCGCATTTAACTCGACGCTGATTGTGTCCAATTTTTAATGTTGTTGAATATCCCCTCTTAATATTTCCTACAAACCTGAAATTCACCTTGCATTCAACCGCATCTGTGTCTTCCAGAGAGAAACTATCATAGTCTTTAAAAGGCAGTTCCGGAGTTTTTCCACGGCAAACGATATGGTGTAAAACGACCAACTTGAAGTTATCAAAATAAGAAGATTCATAGGCCAAAATTACATCATTTCTAGCTTTCTTGAACGAGTACATTTCAAGTTCGCGTTATCGGGAAGTAAAGTAAATCTTAAGTATATTTACGCGACGCCACCGCGTACAGAATGTTGCTCTCCCCAGTGCCTTCGTGTTCCGGCAGGGCGTCGCGAATCACAGCGTCGTAGAATCTTAACGTCCCTAATACCAGCATTCCGAGAACTATCAATAAAATTTTAATTTTTACCATAGCTTTCGATCCGTCGACCCCCGATACTATCTTCACAATCACTTCCCATTGGCGATATAATCTCGATATCTCGATTGACTTGCACTGGACGTTCCTGACATCCAACTTAACCTTCCGTATGTATTTCCAATAGACCTTTTTCATAATGACGTCAAACGCGGAAAGTCTGATGTTACGCGAAGTTTGATTCGCTCGATAGTTTTGTGGAGCCAATCAAATTTCGCGTAACATCAGACTTTCCGCGTTTGACGTCATTATAAGAAAAGTCTATTCCTTCGCATTAAACCTAACGGCGTCTGAATCACACACTGAATAACACACCATCACGTTTAAATAACACACACATCATGTTTCCAATTAAATTTTCCTGAAATCCATTGCTTATTCTTCTCTCGAGGTTTCGCCCACACACGATCTCCAATTTCTAACTTCTTGATTGGCTGGGATATTCTTCTACTGTCTTCTCTCTCCGACTGTCTTCTTCTCTTCATGATATGTTCCTGAACCACCGAGTTATCAATTAAGCGCGGTTTCAATTGTAATGATATTGTTGGGGTAATATCCTTTAACTTTCGCGACATCAACCTTTCAGCAGGTGTGTCTAGCAGCGAAAAATATGGATCTTCATGTCTAAATTTTTTATAATATTATATCTCAACTGTAAATCATCCAATCAGAAAGCTCGATTTGCACCCCGTGATCAGTAAATTAATCATGGAGTTCCATCGAATTTTTTCACATTATGCTATAAAAGTCGAAGACCCCGCTGCAGCGGGGTATTCGACTTCGAATACCCTGCTGCAGCGGGGTATTCGAGTTTGCGTGGATGCCACCACGCGTGGATGCCTCGCACACGACTCGAGGTTGTCAACAATGTCAAAATGGAGGCAAAAGAAGCCATTTCACCCAGCTTTTCCGCTGCCTACACGTTGTTTCCATATAATATATAATTTATAGACCTTCCGCTCGGGGAATTCGACGAAATATTACCCCCTCGGGAAGATATATCCCTCGGGCGAAGCCCTCGGGATATATCTTCCCTTGGGGGTAATATTTCGTCGAATTCTCCTCACTCCAGGTCTATAAATGATAAATATTCTTCGCTACTTTAACGACTCCGCTTTGCCATTGCCTTGACTGTAATAAGGAGACTAGGTAACTATTAGAAATCCATTTTCTTTCTCAAGTGATTTATATTCCCAACTCACGAACTGTGGCCCATTGTCACTAACACATTCATTCGGGATTCCATGTCTCGCAAAATTCTTCTTCCAAGCTTTTGTAACCGCATTGGAAGTGGTATTCTTTAAATAATCAAGCTCAATAAAATCACTGTAATGATCGACCATCACCATGTAATTCCTTCCTTGTAGCTCAAGTAAGTCCACACT